GCAATCCAAGATCATCATTAACCAAATCCAGGAACCATTTCCAGTTGTTCTTGTTCTCTACATCAACAACTGCCCAAGCTATAGGATACACCTGATTATTGGCATCCCTACCTATTGCAGTTAACAATTCACCCTTACACTGTCCCTTCAAAAAAGAACCATCCAATCCTATTACCCTACGACATGCCCTTTTCCACCCCTCTCTTATTGCTTTAAAGCAAATGTAGAATCTATGAAATGTTGTGGTATTATCAGGGTTTACATTAACTGTAATCCTAACTGTGCTGTCTGGATTGGACCTCAGTAGCTCATGCCCATAATCCCAAACTCTTGCGTAGTGGTCATTCAAATTTCCATGAATTAATGACAGAGCCCTCATCCTTGATCTATAACACTTTGACCATGAAATTTTGCAATGAAATTTACTTTGTATAATTACCTGCATCTCTTTGCATTTTAAATTAGGTTTCCTAATCAACTCCTTCACAAATTTCCTAGCTAACCAGGTAGGATCCATAAGCCTTGAATTGTTAAAATTCCTAACACATTTATGAATGTCTATCATCTTTTTGACTTGGAAAGACCTTTCAGTAGTCATCCAAGAAGCCCTAACCACAAATGGACACTTCTCTGGATCACTTCCACATATTGCCACTAGTCTAACACTATCGCATTTTTTGAAACGGATTTGAAAACCCTTACTAACAGCATAGTTCGTCAAACACAGTTTCAGTTCATGTGGGGATTCATACCTTTCACCAAGCATTGGTCTCATTTTGTTCCATTTCACCTTTGGATTGTGGGTGGAATACTCAAATTCCTCATCACTACCTTCCTCGTTACTACCTTCCAGATAATCTTCATCTGATTCTTCTTTAGTGATTCCAGTTTGAGCATCATTTTCAGTTTGAGCATCATCTACTGCCTCGTAATCGTCTTCTTCACATAGAATATTGAGAAATTCGTCTTTGCATCGGGAAGCTTGTTTCTTTTTGAAGTACGCATCCAGCTCCACATCTATTGTATCAAAATCATGGATGTCATCCATGATTTCAACTGCACGGGGGTAAAAAACCCTAGTTTAATGAGGGGAGGTAGAAAGTGAAACGAGAGAGGTAAGTTGTACTGTGTATGTATGTGTGTAAATGAGATCGATTAAAGACACGATTAAACCCACGTATACAAGTCCTTGCCACATAAGCCAATTTAACCGGCTAAATGAAGGTCACCGGTAAAATAGGGCCGAAATGTTCAATTTACCCGGTTTCCTGGGTTTTTTTGTTCAAAAAAAAATGTTAGGACAAAAGTGTAACTTTTCCCAAAAGTTTGGGACTTTTTTGAAGAATTCCCTACATAAAACGACTAGTAAAACTTTTTGAAACAATAGGTTAGTACCTTATCTGAGAAATGATGATATAGATACGTTACAATCAATTCTTATAGTTTTTGATAGATACGTATGTTTGTTCAGATTTCTTGCTACAATAGATATATTGTTTGCCATAACACACTTCCTTATCAAAATACAATATTTTACCATTTATGTTATGTGCTAAGAAACACCCCTTATATAAGCTATTTGAAATAATCATTTTTAAAACGGGGTTCGAGATATTTTGGAAAATCTTAAGTATGGATAAAGATCTTAAACAATAAATCTAAAATAGTTTCAGTGTTAACAAAGTTGGAAAATTTTGATAGCATACAATCTCTCAGTAGGATAAGTCACGTAAAATATGGCTACACAAAATAGTTCAATCTTCCAAACATTCCATCATTCTCTTTTTAAAGTTGTTTAATCTAAACACATGACAAATAGATAAGATTATGCTTGTGAAGCCTAGTGAGTGTTACTAGGATCAAAATTCTTAAGGTCTTAGATAAACTATCCATCCCTAAAGTATAACCTCTCAAAATTAGTTAAAGCTCAATAAAAAGAAGCAACTCATCTCATTAAGTAAATATCATTTCTAAGCATCATACACTTGTTATGAATTACGTGTAAGAAATAAATATTAACTATATTACTAATCATGTGTGGGACTATGGAAACACAAACTAAAAGCCTGAAAATACCATTATAAACAATAAATATTTATCAAATAAAATTTATTTAACGACTTAAAATAAATAAATAGTTATTTATTTTGATCAAAGAATTAATTATAAGAATTTTACTAAATCTATTCTAATAAATGAAGATTTTTTTTTTTTTTTTTTTTTTTTTGCTACATGTCACATTCTCATTTAATTTGTTAAATGTTATTTTGTGGTTATTTTGAATTAATTTTTTCTACGTGTTATTTTATGATGTTTTTTATTTTCTTAAATTCTATATAATATTTTAATATAATAATTACAATATATATAGTAATAAATGAATATCAATTTTATTAATGGACTTACATTCTAATTTCCAAATTCCCAAATTAAAATTTATTAGTTTCTTTTTTTATTTATTTAAATTATCTGTTTAAATTGAAACGATAAAAAACCATTTCAATTTTATTTTATTATTTTTCTTAGTTTCTTATAAATCCATAGTTCTCAAATCTTTAAACTTCCATATTAAATTTATTTTTAAAACTAACCTATGTAATACATGAGTCTCACATCTAGTAGTTAATGAAAGAGTTTTATTAATTTCAATGATAGCTATAAGATCATCTTAGGGGGTGTTTGGATAGGAAAAAATAGATTGCTTATTGCTTATTGCTTAATCCCACAACAATAAGCAAATTTAAATGTTTGAATAGAAGTCTTTAAAAACCAGCTTATTACGATAGAAATAAGTAAAATAAGCTGATTTTAATAAACAATGGGGGAATGCTTATTGCTTATTGTTTATATGTCATTTTACTCATATAAGCTGTTTTGTTTGCCAAACACTTAAAATGCTTATTGCTTATTGTTTATTTTTCACTGCAATAAGCTAATCCAAACACATTTTAAAAATGTGCTTATTCTCACCGCAATAAGCAAATAAGCAATAAGCTAATAAGCTAAAAACTATTTATCCAAACACCCCCTTAATTGTTGGACCAATAAAAGGATTGAGATACATTGTCCAACAAGTTAAACATATAAGGAAGGGATTATGGCATTGCAAGGATTCAAGCTACAATTGTCAAAACCCTATAAAATTTGACATCCTTCATCTCATTTCTTGAATTTGATGTAGGAAAGAAAGAAAGACAAGAAGAATAATTCTTTGAATAATGTGGGATCTAGCAGTCATCTAAATTGGTTTGTGTAGATAAATCATTGATACACTCTTCATAGATTGTGATCTATTACGTTTCAAGGAATCCTTCTATGGTTGTGAAAGTTGATAAAAGCATTTTATCTAATTGTATCCATGGTTTGGAATTGATCATAAAATTTAATTTGTTAATGCTACCATTATTTGTATTTAATATGTGTTTGTCCATCAATCCTTGACAACATTATTAGCATACCAAAAACCAAAGATAAAAATAACAAGGTAGTATAATGAATGCAAGGCATGAAACTACTCTGAAGCCCTAAGTTCTCTACTATCACAAAATGCCCCTTTCCCACACTAAAGGAAAAAACTTAGGGAAAAAATGATAACACAACATAGACTTGGCATACACACGCTTGCAATCAAGTGTAGAGGTTGCACAAATATGTCTTGCTTTAGGTGACATCCGACCATCACGCATGAAATCTTGGATGGAGTTTGCAAGGATCCTTTCAAAGTGAAAGCGATATAGAATAGCACTCATAGCAAATCAAATATGATCTAGTCCACAAACTCTACTCATAGTGACTACACAACAAACAAGTCTCCACCTCATCTTAATATGGATGCATATGATCATGATTTCAAAACGCAAAAAATTAAGTAATTTGTCCCCATTGAAAACTCATTTTTGAAATATGGGTGAATACAACACATATTACGTATAGTATTTTACATAGGTATGCAATAGGTTCTTGTAAGAACCCCAATTTGAGTATTTCAATAGTAATTACTAAATATATGTACCTCTTCAATCTTAAAATATTTGATTTATTTGCGTAACTTGGAAATCTCCTTATAAGATTATTTTACAATTGTCTCTAATTTGTAAGATGTCTTCTTAAATTGTGAAATCAACTATAAATAAGGAAATTGATGTTTTTTCAATAGTTTTTAAGGTGTTAATATAGAAGGAATAACAAATAGGAATTTTAAATTGTAATATCTAAAAACAAGTAAAATAATTGTGTTTACTGCAACATTAAAGGACGGTTACAAATTTACCATCGTGTACTATGGATCAAAAAAATTTATCAAATATCACATCACATGGTATATGATAGATCATTTATACATGTGAACCCCGGGCGGGTCCTTCACTCGACTAACCAGCGATCCTTCTTCCTCGCCGTCTCCTTCGCCCTTTCCGTTTGGTTTGCAGCTCCGTCACCCATGTTTCCCTGGAGCAGCGCTTCTTTCCGGTGCTCCGATGCTCTCATTCTCTAGGTTGATTCTTCTAAGGCATCCGGAACTGATTCTAAGGAATTTTTTTTTTTTTTCAGGAATTCTTCTATAAAGTCTTATGCTTCGATATTCAAGAACCAATAATATGTTATTTACATTCAATTAAAGTTGATTAGATAACATAATAATGTAAGTGATGTACCTAAAACCTAACCTCTGGCTTGGGCCTAAGCTATAAACTCAACCCAAAGCTTTAAAGTCATCAAAGGCCCAACTACAACCAAACATATAGACCCACTAGAGCAAAAAATAAAGAAGCACGTGCCAGAATCTAGATTGCTAACCCAACCTACCCCAGCTAGCATTTTTGGACTGATTGTAGGCTTTTTTGTACCGAACATATAGAGTTATAGACCCAATACAACCAAACATATAGAGTTATAGACTTTTTTGGACCACTTTTTGGGCCCAGATTAAGACCGATATAGCCCAATCCAACCTCTAGCCAAAAATCAAAAACGTCCCATGCAGAAAATTGAAAAGAACAAACTTTTGTTCAGCTCAAACATGTTCATTCCATAGAGAAAAGGTGACCACAAGAGTTTTTGAACTTATCGTCAATACAACACGAACTCATGAGAAGATACGTAATTTACACACAAATTCATCAACAGACGCTACAAAGAAACACTACATCCACATTTGGATACAAAACAACAACAATTCATAATAGAGAGATCAAAGAACACAGTAGCTTCAAGATCTGCTCTTGAAAGGAATGGCTCTGATGACGATCTGGTGATACAAAGCAGCCAGTGCAGCTCCAATGAAGGGACCAACCCAGAAAATCCACTGCAAAAAAAAAAAAAAAAAACAAATTAACCCTTTTAACTCAAATAAAAATGAAATCTTGATCACTAATATCTTGAAAGTGAAAAAAACTTACGTGGTCATCCCATGCATGGCCCTTGTTGTAGATGATGGCAGCCCCAAGACTTCTTGCAGGGTTGATACCAGTTCCGGTGATGGGGATGGTGGCCAAATGGACCAAGAACACCGCAAACCCAATTGGGAGAGGAGCCAAGATCTGCATTCAAATCAAAAAGTAAAGTCAACTAAATATGGTCAAACAGAAGAAGGTGGTCTTCTTTGTTATTGGTGTACACTCCAGAATCCAATGTACAAATTTCACTTTTACCGCATGAGATATCACCTAGTTCCTATTCCTTTTTATGTGTGAAAATTACCAAAACGCCCTCACATGTTCAACTTTAACTGCCCCCACCCCAATCATAAATTGAGAAACCTTGGCCACATAAATTGCACATGGAAGCATATCATTTCCACATGCTTATGCAAAAGACAAAAGAGGAAAGAGACATAATAGATAATACCTACCCTACCTACTCTCTAGTCTCTTCCATCATTCCCCACATCCGATCGTACACTATTTTTTTCTTCTTTCTTTATGGGTATTTTAGACATTTCACTAGCTATATAGAGAGAGGTGAATAAGCAAGAGGAGGAAGAGTAAAGAAACATACAGGGACATGTGAGTCTCTGGCGCTTCTTTTGGCATCGGTGGCAGAGAAGACAGTGTAGACAAGCACAAAGGTCCCGACGATCTCAGCACCAAGACCATCACCCTTGGTGTAGCCGTGGGCTACGACATTGGCTCCGCCACCCAAGGCGGTGTACTGGTTCTTACCCTGGAAACCTTTCACCACACCTGCACCACAGATGGCTCCGAGACATTGCATCACCATGTAGAACACGGCTCTTGTCAATGAAAGTTTCCTCGCCAGTAGCAAACCAAAGGTCACAGCTGGGTTGATGTGTCCTCCTGTTTTACACCAAAACAATTACAACATATTTAATAAAAAAAAAAATAGAAAAATAATTAATTCTTCAAGAACCCATGGGAATGAACAAACAGGGTTTTTAGAAAACCAAAAAGAGATGTAAAAGGAAACAAAAGATAATTGGTTAGAATCTTGAAAACCCCATGCCGTTTGAGGTATATACACGAATCTAATAAACACTACCAAAGTACCAAATTAAACAACCAGATTGTGAAATTATTTTTTTAGTCAAGATTTAACTCAAAAGATGAATAGGGTTTGTAATAACTACTAAAAAAATTGTTGAATTTCACATAGACGTGGAGGAATAAAACCCTGAAACGTGTAAAGTTGGTAGATTTCCTAGAAGGTTACAAACACTACCAAAGTACCAAACTGAAGAAGAACAACAAAAATACACTTGTTTTAGTGATTTTCTATCTCACAACTCATAATTCTAACTCAAGATTGTGACTTTAGCATAAAACATGAATAGCGTACGCAAATTTTTGTGTTGAGTTTTACATACATCAAGAGGAACACCCTGAAAGGTGTAAAGTAGGTAAACATATCCTAGAAAGCTTGAAACTGAAACAAATAACAAAATTTACCTACATAGCATGATTCTTGACCAAGATTTAAGTGTAACTCAAAAATTAACACGAATTGTTCACAAATCATCGAAATTTCATATAGATCTAAAAGATAATTGGTGCATATCTTAGCTTTTTTTTTTTTTTTTTTCAAATTATGGAGCTTAACAGTTTTTTACCGAGTATAAACAGATATAAACGAAACAGTAGTGAGAAAGATTAACCAAAAAAAACAAGGGTTGGTTGTTGTAGAAAAATAGAAATATATACCTGAGATACCGGCTGTGCAGTAGACAAGGGCAAAGATCATACCCCCAAAAGCCCAAGCAATCCCTTGAATGCCCACAGTACCACACTTTGTGGGGGACTTAACGACACCCATCACCGTCAACACAGAGATGTACAAGAACAAGAAAGTCGCTATGAACTCCGCAATTCCGGCTCTGTAGAAAGACCATGACGACAGCTCACCTGGCTCGAACAACGGCGCTGGTGGTGGTTCCTTGTAATCTTTGTCTGTTTGAGCCGACGTCCCGATGGGCTGCCTCTCTGAGTACTTGTTGGCTCCAAGCTTAACATCCTCTTCCTTACCCTCCATAACTGTTACTCCAAGCTTTCTCTCACTACAACTTTCACTCTCTCTCTCTCTCTATCCCTCTTGAAGGCACCGAGAATGTACGTGAGTTTGTGAGGTGGGAGGATAAGGCTGTGTGGGGTTTTATAATGGAGAACTCATCATTCAACTCCATAACTTTAATTGTTTTTTTGGCTCTTTTCTTAATTTCTAGTCTAATGATTGATTTTTGAGTAGTAAAACATTTGGTAATATTACACTCCACCTATTATAAAATTACATAATGTTAGAT